ACACGTAGCGTCGTCTCATTCTAAGAAGGCTTCCATGTTCTACGAAGTTCCCACGCTGCCGTCCGTCACGAAACCTTAAACCTGGTATATACTGGCAAAGAGGCTGCCAAGAAACACATGAGGGCTGTGGGTTTTGGGGGGTTTCCGGGTTTACAGTTCAGAAGGCCTAGGTTTACTGTCTGGTTCTTACTAGGGAATGGGGGACTGGATCCCTAAGCTAGTCCCTTATAGTAGTCCCTACCATTCCCTACTAAGAACCCGACAGTTCAAGGTCCGGGTTCAGGGCAACAGCAGGGCCTTGACTCTCTTCACGTCCTCCTTGCTCGCCCACTTTGGAACGGAGTACCTCGCACGGGTACGTGTCAAAGAAGCTTCATTGAGGTTTCCGGGCGTCAAAGCCGAAAGAGCCCCATCTCTGGTATTTCTTGCTGTTATAGTGTTGACTAGAGGCCTCATGAAGAGATAAGTACGAAGTCTAATCGGGTGACGCTGGTCAGTGGAGCCAACTTGTTGGTGTAGAGCTTCTAAGGTTTTCTTCAGGTTCCATGCGAGCTTTCGACCCGAAGGCTCCCATGTCAGTGGTCTCTCAAGACTCCTCTCTTCAACTTCTTGCAACATTGCGGAAGAGAGGGATAAAGGAGACCCTGTGCTTCTTAAGGAATCATAAATGACAATTTTTTTGCCTTACAGAACGTGCAGTGTAAAGTTCACACAAACTCAGGCTAAACAGAAAAGCCAAGCCGTCAAAGAAAATGCGAGCTTCTGGTAAAGAGGCTCCGAAATGTTCGCTTGAAGCCGAATCAGCAGGATCCCTCCTTCAACGGACCTCTGGTATTTGCAAGCCCACCCGGACTCAACTCAGTTGAGCTGGTTCTTGTCGGTTGAATGAAGTGATATTGTATCAGAGTTCTACACGGGTCGGGCAGAAGAATCAACAACTCACAACTCTTCATCCATGGGCTGAACCCTCAATGCCACGGCACGAGACCCAACTGTCTGCACAAGTTGGCACTTTCCAGAGCGTCCTGCTTCAGGCTTCCCGTCATGAAGACTTACTGAAGATTCGAGCATTGAATGCCACGAAATCGTACACCCGTAAACTCCACGCCCCCAATCCCGAAACCGCTGACTCCTAGCGGGCGACCACTGGAACTGGAAAAACGCGGACTTCGAACGGCCAGGTGCGCGAGGCATTTACAGATGCAGTGTTCCGACCACTGAGGAAGCGATGAACCCCTGTCTCCGGTTTAGGGTTTAGGGTTTAGTTCATTGTGCATTGCTTGTTGTCTACTTGGTAGCTTAGTCGAAAAGGCTGCGGTTCATACCCGCAAACAAGATTCCAATGCAAGATTCCAACGCAATGTAGGAGAGCTGGGATAGGAGGCAACACTTCCAACTAGAACCGAGAACGGCGCTTGATAGACACATGCACACGCACCCATGCATGTATCTACACTGGAATGTATGCTGGTGTGCAATTATATATATATATACATATGTATAGAGATACAAATACACATACACAGGTATATTTAAAGGCTCTGCTTCCTCTCTCTCTCTCTCTTCTCTCTCTCTCTCTCTCTCGGGGTGTGGGGCGGGGGCCGGTTCCCCCCGTCCCGCGCGAGTGCGCTACCCCATCCAACATATTGTGGGCTGGGCTCAAATTTTACGGAGACAGGTGCTCTCCTGTCTCTCTCTCTCTCTCTCTTTCTGTCTGGCTGGCTCTCTCTCTCTCTCTCTCTCTCTCCCTCCCTCCCTCTCTCTTCATATATACTGTACATACACGCGTGTACATGTGTATATATGCATGCATGTGCAAGCGTGCATCTGCAGTACTGATTATCGCTTTGATTGGAGCTCGCGAGATGAAGGCCTATGGGAGGTCCTGTGCGGTGCCTGTACCAGGGGGTCCCAAATTGGGATTTGAATCTTACAGAGGTCTCTTATCCTTGCCTGAAGATCTTAACGCTGTTACACGGCTTTGCCGTCCTTGCGAGCTGAAACGTGTCGTTCAAGTCCTCTACGACGGCCAACCTCGGTATCTGTCGTTGAGGCATGTTGAGGCCAGCTGGGGCTCTTGTTAGGGAGCTTTGGACAGGATACCGCATAAGGGAAGTGCTGTCATTATGATTGCTCTTGTTAGCGTTGATCGTGTGCATAGCGGCATCGCTATTGGTATTGTTAGCACTGTTAGCCTTAGCATCACCGTTACTGTTGTGAATGCAAACAATTTGTGAAAGTATTATTCTTCATATGCCTGCTACTACCAACTGTTACCATGTTGACCTCTAGCTGTAAATATCTGAAGTCTGGAAAATTTTTCAGTTAATCGCAAAAAAATCACAGGCCTGACTATGCACCATGCGCGCAGCCTGCTGTGTCAATACGTTATACATACGAAAATACATGTAAACATGTGTGTATATACACATAATGTGCATTTACATATATATATATATATATATATATATATATATATATATATATACGCATGTATGCCATAGGCATACAATTATTGCGTGCCAGGACCACAGTGACTGAGCTGCCGGCATGAAGATAAAGATGCATGCCTGAGGACAGCCAGGTCCACTGATAGCAGTCGTACTTGAAAGTCGTCTGTCCGGCCGAGGCGCTTGCAGATCGCTCCAGAGTTTTGCTGTTCGAGGGCACTGGTACGCCTGATCGCTTTTGCGATGTTTATGTACCACATGGCGGACTGCCGAGCATCCTGGCGAAATATAGCTCCGCAGCTAGAGCAACTGCAGACGAAGGCACGTTGAGGTAGATTGTACAAGCTATGACACTCGCATCAGTCAGGAAATCTGGCCAACCCCTGAAACCATAAAACCAATTCAAGCGGTGTCCGGCTGTCCGTCCGAGATTCGAATTAAAACATAACACATGTCTTGGAAATCTCTGGGATCGCACTAATGGCAGCGGCTCTTGGTGAGAGCTTCTTATTGAGTCTATAAGAGTAGATATAAGGGGCTACAGTGAGGGTTACGATTCTTCAACTGAAAAGGGGGTGTGAAGTGAGGGTTCCTTCAAACTCTTCGAGGCTCTTTTGGAACACTGAGTCCTACACCAGAAGGTTGTTTCTCCCTTCGCTACGAAGTAGCCTGGCTTAGGAAGCTTCTGAACACCTTCTGAGCTGCTTTCCGCTGTGGCTCCGCTGCTGTGCTGCTCAAAACCAAGATCTACTCTGCTTAGCACACTCTCAGTTCTTTGGACTTCCGAATCTCAGGTGGGGTTTGCAGGGCGCAAAAGCTTTCGCATACTTCGGAATCTACAAAAGCAACTTCCTGCCAAAACTTGGACAGGGCGTGTATGACTGCTTAGGCTTCAGGAGTATACTGGGTGTGCCGTGGCGTGTGACCACGAACCCACCCCACTCTTCCCGGACATACTTGGGGGGTAGGGCTTTTGCATATTGGCTGTCTCTGAACCAACAGTAGACATTCCAAACCATGCAGATTGCGTTACTGGAGTACGTGACGGGAACACTTCCGGCAGCACAGCGGTGCAAAGATAACAATGTCTTCCAATTTGCGGCGGAACCGCGCAGTATAGGTTGACACTCATGCGCAAGAAGAAGCACCACGCCCATGCCCGCAACCCTTTTGTCTAGTTTCATCACCCTCCAAAGCATGCTAAAGTCTACACCCTGAACCCTAGAACACAAGGTGGCACATCATCAGAAAATGCAGGCGGGTAAAGTCGTCTTCTGGCGACAAGACCTCACAAAGCCCCTTAGCCTCTGCCCCTCAATCTGAGAGCGGTCTTGGCATGCCACGTCCCTTGAGAAGTACTGTACCCCGAAACCTCAAGCCTTAAGTTGCAGACCTGCTTCTGCCATTCATTTCCAGGTCGGCCCTACAATTCTGATCCCAGCCACTGGGTTAAGAGTTTAGTCTAGCGCGATCGTAGGCGACATTATGCGAAGGGCCATGATGCTCACAGCCTCTGCACGACGGTTTCGATGCAAACCTGAACAGTTGATCTTCAAAGGGTCTCAAATTCTCCTCCATAATGAAACCACATTTTTAATTCCGTTATACTATAATTAGAATAATGAAACCACATTTTTTACTCCATTATACTATAATTAGAATACTGAAACCACATTTTTTCACTCCACTATAGTATAATTGGAATAATGAAACCACATTTTTTACTCCACTATACTATAATTAGAATAATGAAACCACATTTTTAACTCCGTTATACTATAATTAGAATAACGAAACCACATTTTTTACTCCATTGTACTATGACTAGAATAATGAAACCACATATTTTTACTCCATTATACTGTAACTCGAATAATGAAACCACATTTTTAACTCCATTATACTATGATTAGAATAATGAAACCACCATTTTTTACTCCGTTATACTATAAGTAGAATAATGAAACCACATGTTTTACTCCATTATACTATAATTAGAATAATGAAACCACCATTTTTTACTCCGTTATACTATAATTAGAATAATGAAACCATATGTTTTACTGTTGTCTTCGGATGGCCAGAAATCTCAAGGCTGCTCTCGAGGGCGGTATCACGTAGCGGCTCTGGCTGTCGGGGTTTGCAGTGTGCAGACTTGGGCTCCGAGGCATTGGCAAACAGAACACCGAAACGCAGTTACATACATATATATATATACATATATATATACACCTATCTTATGATATAATTTATATCATACTATATACTATATAAGAAGTGTATATATATATATATATATATATATAGAGCCCTATACCAAAATCCCAAAGTCTCTAGACTCTGCCGAAGGCACTTCAGGAGCCAAATCAGCGACAACGCACCCAACCCGATGAGCTCGCTACAGGAGCTTTCATCATATCCAAGGGTAAAAGGAGGGACTCTTAATAAGGATCCCTAGGTATATACGCTTAATATAGCCATTATATACCCATTTTATAGCCCATTATAGGGTAGGGGGCCCCTTTAAGGCTCCCTCCTTTTCCCCTTTGATCATATGTCCTGATGCTGCGAAACCTTCGAAGGGTCGCCGGGTGGCACGGCCTTTATGCCCGATCCTCGGTGTGCGAGAGGCACGGCACTGAAACGCAAAGCCAAACACTTAGCGACAGAGCCCGAGTGCATTCTCATAGCTGCGACCTCATGTTCAATCATGCCTCTAGAAGTTAACTCTTCCGTCGTATCTAGAACGGAGCTGCGTAGCGTAGCCTCACTCAAATCGTGAAGAGACGATGCCTACATGTTGCATTGGGTGCTAGGCTGCACGGCGCATGGGTTTTATGATGTCATGTACAAGCTTTGAGGGACCCAGGAATCAGTCTGGCATGCACGATGCTTCCGCCGTAAAGCCCTCCTGACCGCCCAGACGTGAAACTACCAACCTTAAACCCATTTGTTTTGACGAGAGCAAGAGACACCAGTCCGTAATATTAGGATCCGCTGCAAGGTAGGGAGGCTGTTCATCAGGGGTAAAGTCTACTACGCAATTCTTGTGCCCTAAGCTGTGAACCCCCCCTTCAATGCTAAACCCTTAAACCTCAAAAGCCCTCAACCCTGAACCCCTCAACCCTTAAACCTCAAAAGCCTGAAACCCTAAATCCCCCAACCCTCAACCCCCCAACCCTCAACCCCCCAACCCTGAAGCCCCCAACCCCTATAAACCCTAAAACCCTAAACCCCACTTTGCAGCTTGAGGGGCTTGCTGCCTGCATGCCTTCCGACTGCGATCTCCTCACGCTCACAGCTTTTGGGGCTTTTTCTAGGGCTCCAGTTGCCTTTGCAATAGGTTTTTCTGGGGTATATAACATATGGGGGTTTCCGAAAATAGGGGGCCCAGGACGGTTTAGGGTTTGTCAAGGTTTTCTGGGTTTAGGTTATAGTGGAATTTCTTGAACTTTAGGGCTTTAGAGCATTCCAAGTTTTGGGGTTCGGGGTATGGGCACAGGGCTTTCCTGTTTCGGGGTCTAGGTTTGGAATTAAGGACTCTTGTCTTCGGATTTCGGATTTAGGGCTGGAGCTTCATTTCTCTTCTGGTTTGGGTATCAGAGCAGTAGAGCTCATAGGGCTTCGGGGTGTAGCGCATTTCGGGCACTTGGGCCAATGGAGAGTTTAGGGCTTCGGGTTTTAAAAGGCTTAGGATGGGTTTAGGGTCTAAGTCTGGGACCGCCGAGCTTTAAGATTGGCTCGAAGTGAAAAGTTTCGGGTTGAAGGGAGATGCCTGTTGCGATTCTGCTTGGGCTTAGGGTGTAGGGGATCATCGGACCTAGTAGGTATGGCTTCAAGAGCCTCAATTTGTACATCTTATCCTGCGAAAAGCTCTAGATCAGACCGGCCAGACCTTGAGGCAAGGACCAACATCGAGGCATCTCAACTGGAGCGAGACCATCTTCAGACCGAGATCATGGTAAACTGTAAACCCAGAATCCCAAGCCCCGAAACCCCCAAGCCGGAAACACCCCACACACCAACCCCTAAGCCCCCAAACTCTCCTGACCCCCTAACGCCTAAAGCCCAATGTGACCCTTCACTAATTTTATAGCAAATCCCTATAAAACCCATGGTTTTTTATAGGGACTGGGGTCCCTTCTAAACCCTAAACCCCTAACCTAAACCCTAAACTTCCCTCCCCTTCTTTGCAGTCCTTGCAGAACGCCAATGGGCTCCGCGATCTCCTGAAGCGACTCAGGAAACAAGTCGCGAGATAAAGAGCTGAGGACCGGAGGGCAGATTTCATTGAAGCCTCTTGAAAGACAGTTTGGGGGTTTAGGGTGGAAAGTTTAGGGTTTAGGGAGTAAGCTTTAGGGTTTACGGCGGCTGGGCCTGCCCGGGTGCTGCTGTAATGGCATAGACTTGCGCCCTCGCTGCGACACCCGTGATCTCCCAGCCCATCTTAGGAGAGATGTGAGACGTGCCACGCGGACTTCTCCATAGATGATTTCAGACCATCGCATGCAGCCACCGAGAGAATCTCAAAACTCTTATTAAGTAAACGTGCGTTATTGAAGATTGTTGCCATACGTTGTGGGAACTTTCCTTGTTAAGGAAGGGATAGATTGCGTATCATCGGTCCGAAACTTCTCCTAAGATTCTTGCCTGGCGCCTCACACGCATGTTCGCAAAGGCCAGACAGCTCAGGGTCTAAAATGCCAAGCCCTGCAGCTCCAATCTCTTAAACCGCAAATTGGGCTCTAAGGGTTATAAATAAGGTAACTCTACTTATAGCTAGTTACTAGTTATAACCCCAATTAAGGTACTTATGACCTTACCATGATCCTCTAAGGACTTGAGGGAAACTTCTGCCATCTCTTGCAAAGCCCGGCCTCTGTCTTTGCTCGGGCTTCGACCCGAGGCCAAACGCAGCCTGGCAACTTTCCACTGCTTAGGTCTGGGTTAAGGGCTTCCGGTTTGGTATTTCGAATTTAGTTCAAGCTTTACATGGAGTTTCGGGTCTAAGGGGCCGTAAGAATTGAACTAGGGTTGGGGGATATATTCTAAGTCTACCGAAGAGGTGCCTTGAAGAATCGTATCACGAACTGTTCAGGCCCCAAGACCAACTTGGGGCAAGTGGCTAGGCCGGGCGGGGGACTTAGTAAGTAGGTAGTAAGTAGACTTATAAGTACCCTAAAAGGGACCCTAGCATGGACCAGCTTAGGATCAATGGAGGTTGGGATTCTTGCTTCAAGCAGCTGGATTGAAAGTCCAACACAAGGTTCCTTTAAGGGCTCTTTCAAGGGTTCTGTGGGCATAGTGTAAGGGCCTTATTAATAGAGTAGGGTTCTGAGGTATAGTAATTATATACTCTATCGAAACGAGGAGAGATAGTCTGACAAATTATTTCGCCCCCTGTTTTGGAGATCTTGTGTGGCGTGCAAGGCTTTAGCTTCTTTTTGCAAAGCCGCGTGCTGACACCTAGATAGCAGCACAAACTAAAGCAGGCAGCATACCTGACCACTTAGTGAAGCCCGGACCCCCTCCTCCCAGTTTAAACCCTTACAGTAGTTGGGTTTAAGGTCTATTGAGGCTTCAGCGCTCACTGGGCGTATTGGGGATCCTTGCCATTATCCTTCCGCTGCAAGGGCAGCCCACTACCACAACATATAGCAGTCATGTCATTTCCTACTAAGGATGGCTAATGAAGCGGTAGCCAAGGGTGCTTCCGAAACCTCAAAGCCCCAAAACCTAAACCCTCGAAGCCCGCACAGGATCATGACGTGCCAACATACAGGTATGGTACCCCAAATAGTAGGATCCTTGTTATCAGGACCCGAAAAGACGGTATATTCGGAAACTCCCAAATCCCGAAAATACGGTATTTTCGGCAACCCCCAAACCCTAAAGTTATTGCTCCGAAGCCTCCTGCTGGGGTGAAGGAGCGCGGTCTTCTCCCCGTCCGGGTACTCCAGGCTGAGATCCCGGAAGACGTCTTGGAGAACACCTCGTGGGTAGTTGTCAAAATTAGGGTCCCTCTTTGGGTATCCCAAATAGTAGGAGCCGTGTTATATTCGGGACCCAAGACGGGACCCTAATTTTGGCAACCACCCTCGTGCCTGCGTGGCAGAAGGGCCTGTGGAGTTGAGGCCTAAAACCCAGCGCACGTGGAAGCTCAAGATCTCAGCAGTCAACCCTGTGCAAGAGATGCTCCGACACCTACAATAGGGACGTATTACTAGTTTGATTATCATCAGTATATTTGTTGTTGTTATTTTTCTGAAAGTAGCAAGACTAGTGACAATAGTAGTAATCATAAGGAGATACAGCATTGAACCGTTTAATTTAAACATGATCTCGTGCTCGCAGTAGCAATCAAGCCGATCCTTTGCGATCGGTCTTATTCGATTGGTCCCTGTCAGCACTTAGAGGCCCTGCATCGAAGAATCTGGGCTAAACCCTGTTATAAAGCAGCTCGCTCTTGTGACGAAGGCACCCTCCAGGACGTGAAGGGATCGCTTCAGTGCCTGCCACTTGGGGCACCAATTAAGGGGGCTGGGCACCTGAACCCGACCCTAGCTGAGCAGCCACGAAAGCTCACGCTGCATGAAGGTGAGTCGGGTGGGTGGCGGGGGCTCTCTCTCCTGTAAGGGTTTGCAAGGCTTTTGGGTTTCTGGATCGATAGCTCCAGTGCGTGCGAACCAATCTACATGTTGTCGGCGTTCGGTGCGGTGGCTATGTAAGATACACGAGGCTCCCACAGGCATTTCATGACTTCATGGATCTCCGCTCTGAAACCCTGAGCCCTTACCCTAACGTGGGAAATACAGCAGTCACAAACTACCTTGAACCGAGCCCGTAAGCGATAGACCCCCAGTCCACCTCGAACCAGCCAACCCCCCTCACCCTAAACCCCAAAAGCCCTGCACATCCCTATGAAATGCTTAGGCAAAACCTATATATCCACAGAGAACCCTATGATGCCAAAGACGTCCGGTAAAACAGTCTATGCAAGATCCTGAAGAAAGCATGTCGAAACAATTCTCTGACGTTCAGACGTCTGCTGTTGCTGAGTCAAGTCTGGGAATGCTTCATATCATTTGTTCGCACATCTCAAAAAGCGCCCAATGAATCTATAATAAAGGGTGCTAACAAAGTGTACATGCTGTGTCCAAAAACAATCGAAATAAGTAACCTTAGCTGGGTTCTTGTTAAGAAAATTTTATATTGTGTCCTTATTCTAGTATCTGAAATTAAACTCAGTAAAGGGAACTCCAGAAAGTTGGAATATGGTTTCAGGGTAGGATACCCTATAATTTACCATAAAGGGTTTAGGATAATCATATTCCAACTTTCTGGCTTTTACCATAACAAGAACCCAGTTAAGTAAGTAACAAGTACACATTTTCGTGGTGAAAACCAGAGGCCTTCGAGCCAGGCTGCTTTCTGCTGCAGACTCGGACTTTTGAACGATTGCTCGTGCGACAAACAAGTCCGTTATTACTCCGGTGTCTTATAAACCCTGAAAAACCCTAAGCCATAAGAATGAGCCCAGGTGTCAGCCATCATCACAAGTCGTGGCATTTCCTGTAGATTTTCGTTGCACATGAGCGTGTTTAATCATCTGGGGGCCACCGCGTCAGAGCTGTAATGCCAACCCTATAAACCCTGTCTCATACCGCGACCCACCCCCCTCCTTCCCCGCAATCCTAAACCTGAAGCTTAAATCAAAAACCCCTACGGCGCAAAACCCTCACAGTACGCCTAGACCCTTATTGCAACCCTGAAAGACCTGTTTAAAAGGGATCCTACATCTGAAACTTCACTTGTGGCCCCTGAGGCCCACTAACCCCTAAGCGGTCGTGCGTTTTTTTCTGTATTTTTTCTGTTTTTTTTTGTATTTTTTTTCCGCTTGCGTGTTCCTATAGGGGTTCTACCATCCTCAAACCGCGGGCTTTTCAGCACCTCTCTCACAAATCCTGCCGCGCTTTGCCCTTCGGGTAGTGGTAGTGGTAGGGGTAGTGGTAGTGGTAGTAGTAGTAGTGGTAGTGGTAGTAGTAGTAGTAGTAGTAGTAGTAGGTAGTAGTAGTAGTAGTAAGTAGTAGTAGTAGTAGTAGTAGTAGTAGTAGTAGTAGTAGTAGTAGTAGTAGCCGCCACAAGTGCTCAAGCGGCCGCGCTGAATGAGAGGCTTCGAACAGGCTTGGGGCGCAACTGCTGTGCTAGAGGTTCCCACCGGGCCCTTTTCTGAACAGTAAAGGTTTGTGCCTCCTTCTACGCCATGGTCCTCTCCCTTTTCTCACAGGAGCTGCTTTGAGCCGCCAGGTCCCAATTCCTGGGCCCAGACTCTGTTTAAAACATTGCAACACTGGGTAGGCGGTAGGGTTTCCACCTCCGCGCGGTGGAGGGAGTCATTAGGCTTCTGTCTCTTGACGAAAGTAGCGGATGGCGCAATTGCCAGTGCACTCACAAAACTTTGCATCTCTTCGTAAGAATTCGTTCAAGACAGCATGTAGAAGGACAGTCCGTAGTGACGGGCCCGTACCATACCGAGGGCAGGTTCTGACACCTACCCTGGTTGATCGTCTGGGGGTGCGCCCCCCACCCACTCGAAGAGAGCTTCAGTCACAGACTGCTGACTCCCCTGCATATGGCACAGCCTCCCGCAGGGCAGGAAGGTTGGAAAGATCCATTCGAGTTCTTTCGTGGAACGCGGGCCACCTAGGCCAACAGCAATGGGGCGAACTCAAAACATGGCTAGCAGCTGAAGCCTCTCATCACTGCGACATCCTCATATTGCAGGAAACGCACTGGACTGAGACCAGCGAATTCAGCGTTTCTGGGTGGTACTGTATCTCCTCAGCCTCGGAGTCTACCAAACCCAACACCCGGCCTAAACAAGCAGCAAAGCGAAACACTCGGCAAGAACCGCGAGCCCCATCCACGACTCGCGCTGATGGAGTCATGATCCTATTCTCTCCCAAGTTCGTCCCCAAGAGCTTACGCTGGAAGGAGTGGAGCCCGGGTAGAGTCTTAGAAGCTCGCGCGGACATTGCAGGTACTCGGCTGGTTATTGTCGCGGTGTACCAACACGCTTGGTCTTCTGCCAAGACCATCCAGTCCAATAAGGACGACCGTGCTAAGGTGCTATCTGTCATGTCCAAGGTGATCAAGCAGGTGCCTAAGAGGGACTCCCTTATTGTAGCAGGTGATTTTAACACTTCCTTGCGTCCGAGCTCTCCATTGGTGGGACCGCACGTGAAGCCACCTACTGAGGACCGCCCTGATGAATCCAACTTGTTTAACCTGCTGCTCAGGTTGCGTTTGGTTGCCCTCAACACCTGGCAATGTGACCATATAGCTACCTTCTCACAAGGAGGAGTGGAGTCGCAAATTGACTTCATTCTCACCAAAGAATCTACGGCGGGAGGCAAAGCAAAAAGGTCAGCCCCCTGGGTGGACTGCCCGTTGGGAAGCTGGAAGAAAGGGGGGCATTACCCGCTTAAAGCTGACGTACCCCTCCAGCATCACTGGCTGCTCCCATCCCACAAACCCAGCACGCGCCGTTACGATTCACTAGCTTTACAGGCCTCGGTCAGAGAGGAAGACGAGACGGCAAAGGCACTGCACAGCTGGATAGCTTCCAGAATTGACACCTGCCAGGACCCCAAGGCATGGAATGCGTTGCTTTTGGAAGGTGCAGAACGCTTTTTCCCAAAAATTCCCAAAAGAATACCGATTCTGCTGGAATCGGAAACCCGTCGCATGTGGCGGGCCCGCACTCATGACAGGGCTGCGAATACTCCCTCAGCACAGCTGATCGAGTCACCTAAAGCAATGGCACAGCCTCCTAATCGGAACACGCCACGTCCGCCGGAAACAGAAGCTGAGCTGGCACAAGTGGCACATCGCCAAGCTGTGAAACAAGCAAAGAAAGATCGAATTGCAAGTTTCATATCGGAGGTAGATGCGAGTCTAGCTGAAGGTGATCAACATATCTCCTTCCAGACCCTCAAAAAGCTGCAGCCTTGGCAGCCCGCGCGCAGAGCTCAGCTAAAGGACAACACAGGACATCTCCTAGGCCCAGCGCAGGAACTAGCAGCCCTCAGGGATTATGCCAATCAGGTATTTGCGGCCCACCCTCCGTTACGGACTATGCATGGTGCTTTCCCTGCTTTGGAGCCACCCAAACTAGCAGCTCACATACATTCCATCAAGCCGAACAAAGCTGTTCCTGACGGAGCGGCACCAGCGGCTGTATGGAGGCTGTGTAGCGATCTCGTTGCACCGGTCCTCTCCGAACACGTAGCATCCAAGCAGGCCGAGGACAGTCTAGAATCCGACCTAGTAGACGCAGATCTCTGTTTAATACCCAAGCCGGGCAAGCCCTCTGATAAACCAGCAAACTTGAGACCCTTGGGTATCCTTCGACCTGACGCTAAGGGACTGGCGGGAGCGGCCAGAGAAGCGCTTCAACCACTGACCCTCTCGTTCCTCAAGCACATGCCACAGTTCGCTTATCTACCAGGTCGGGGGCTGTCAGACGCACTAGAACGCGTGGTGCATCACTTGCGTGAGGCACGATCCCTGTTAGAACAGGCCCACCCCACGAGACATGCCTTGCAACAAGGCACACAGGCCCCAGCCTTAGTCGGCGGCCTCACCTTTGCTCTTGACCTCAGCCAAGCGTTTGACACAGTCTCTCGCCAAGAGATCATCGACCTTCTTCAGAGTGAAGGGGCCGATCAGGACACAGTCCACCTTGTTCAGGCTCTACATGACGGGTCTCGTTACGTTCTTCACGCGCAGGGAGATTCCACCTCTGTTGAAACCACAGCAGGCATTAAACAAGGATGTAAGCTCGCCCCCACACTCTTCTCGTTCCTCACAGGTGACCTTTTCCGCTCTCTGGTCGACCTTTTCGGTGCTGAGCAGGTCTTGAAGTTCCTGACTGGCTATGCCGATGATCTCACGCTCCATCGGACTATCCGCTCTGACAAGGACCTCAGGGCCATTCATGCTCTCATCGCAGCGCTACTTGAAGAGGTCCGCAAACATCGCCTTCGCGTCAACCTTAGCAAGTGCGTCATCTTAGTGAAGTTAGCGGGAAGAGAATCCCAAAACGTGTTGAACAAACATGGCTGCTGGATCACCAACTCAAAGGGCGAGCAGGTTCGCGGATGGCGCATAGGGCCCAACAAATCTTTCCCCGCCTTCCAGTGGGTCTCCTGTAGCAAGTATCTGGGGGTTATGATCTCCTACAACCACTTCGAGCTGCAGTCCTTGCATTACCGCATTGGGGAAGCCAAGCAAAAGCTGCATCAAGTCCGCCAGTTTGTCTACAATCGCAGGCACGCGAGCACCATGTCGAGACTTAAGGTTTGGCAAAGCACAGTCCTGAGCACACTGACCACAGGCCTCTCAGACGTCGGACTTAGCGAGGAGTCGGCCAAACAGCTACGTAGTTGGCATGCTTACAAGGTGCGATCAGTGCTGAACTTGCCAGCACACACCAGCCGCATCACCACTA